TATAAATGCGAATGTTTAGATGGATGTTTGAAGGTATCTCTAGGACGGCTTCATAGATTTCGCTGAAATTTGGCATAGAAGTAGAGCATGGCTTGGAAGGACACATAGGCTACTTATTAAGTTTTTACTTAATTCCGCGTGGACGGAGTCGTGGGCGACAGTAGTTAGTCATGTACTTAAATCTAGCTCCTATACTATACCGTCTGTTAGGTTCATTCCATTTTTATTCAGAGTAAATTCGAACCGGATTACTTTTACCACAAATTATTATAGATGTATCCAATTATTTACACTTTATTAGTTATTATTGTCATCTTAGTAATTTTGTAAATGCGAATGATTGGATGGATGGATGGATGTTTGTTTGAGGGTATCTCCCGAACGCATGCATGGATCTTGCTGAAATTGGCCATAAATGTAGAACACAGTAAGTAAGTCTGTAAGAACACATAGGTTATTTTTTAATTCCGCGCGGCCGGAGTCGTGGACGACAGCTAGTAACTAATAAAGATTAAATTAGAAATAATGATTTTATTTGGAAAAAGATGGAAATTACTAAAAAAGTCAAGTTGAACAACCACACTTGAAATAAAAGCGAGAGACAAAAAAAATTGGAAACTCTTCGTTCACCTGCTAACAAAATAATTACAATAAGACATAACTCATTTAATGGCCAATGTATTTTAAATCGTATTCTTGAAGAATTAAAGGTTATTTTTTTTCGAATGTTATTTGAAGTTATGTCATTTTATAAGGGTTCTTTTGCCATCGAGGGCACCATGTTTGCTCTCTCGATGTGAAAGCAAAGAGAAAGGTGCAGGCAGTAGTGTCAGTGGGCCCCAAATTCCAAAGGCGGTGAGATTTTTTTCTCTCCGCTATGAACACAGGTGTTCCATATGATTTTAACTAATCAAATTATAGTTCAATTGGCTTAATTAAATTAATGTTTAACTGATATTAAGATAACTATGGACGGCTGTTTTTAGATATTTAAAAAAATCTGAAGATGGTGATTCAAAGTAGACAAAATTGTACGTCTTTTATGTGCAAAAAGCACAGAACGATTTTAGTTCTGTGGGTCTAGCAGGAATATTTGCTGGAAAATGTTGGTAGCGTTATCTTAGATATTTGTGTTAGATTTGTGCTCTATTTTACGTACAACGACAAAGAGAATATTATGAATATATTTAAATGCTTAGGTATGTTGAAGAATAACAAAAATAATAACTAGGATACTAAGATCTTTTAGGAACTAATGTAATAGACTTAAGTTTAAGTTACCTTGAGATAAGTTTATGGATTAAGAAATGAGGTGAACTTAGTTTGTAATAAAATTTAAAATCTCGCCTGTATATTCGTGATTTACATTTTTAGACATCGATCCATACTTTATATAGAAATTTATAATTTCTTAATTATTTATGAAAAACACATTGGATTCTTATTTCTTTTATATCCGATGTACGTTATCTTTTTCTTACTTCTTACTTTATTATTATGAAAAAGAGAGCTTTCTTTGCTTGTTTTCCAAAAGTTTATTAAATTTTTTCTATTGGAGAATATGTTTTTTTTTAATTTTCACAAATATGTTTCAAATTATTTTAATATGAAATATTTTATTGTTTATTGTATAAATGTAGAAATTCAAAAAAAGGTTGTAAAATATACAGATTAGAAGTCTATTGATTTCTTCAAGTTTCCCCTACTTTAGTTCTACTTCTCAGTAGCTACAGTCTTTACAGACTGGTCGTGGTCATCTTGTGTATACCTTGACTCATTTCACTAATTGCTTCCACTCTTCCCGGACTACTGCTTTTTTCCTACATACATGCAGACGTCTACTGCCTCTCTGACCTGGTCTGTGCACCTCATGATCTACCTCGTACCCTGGTATCTTCCGCTTTTCTATAATACTAACTTTGGTTAGTAGCGTTAAAATATTGTTATATATTGTTAAAGTATTCTATTGAATATCGACCGACAAAACAAAATAATATCTTCTCTAGTAACTATTAGCAGTTTTGGCATAGTTTTTAGTACTTTTGTTAAAAATGTTGCAGCAATGCTGAGGCGAACACAACTAAATCATTAACTTTTCATTGTATTATTCATCATCATTAATCTTCAGTTATCCCTACGGAGGGTTAGTACATCTCTATCAACCGTCATATCTGAATCTACTCCCTTCCTATGCATATCTTTTACATCCATCCATACTTTCTTTGATCTTTCTCTACCTTTGTAGTTTTTCTTTGTATTGTTCCAAGATATAAAATGTTAGTTTGTAAAGTGAAACTCAAAAATGTATTCAATATTTTTATGTGGTCTATCATGAACTCAGAGGGAAAGTTTTTTAATGATATAACATAATTTAAATACATCATAATGGGTAAAGCAATACGACAAAAATGTGTGGAGTGAAAGTGTCACCCACACTAACAATGTTCTTGTAGTAGTTAAGAAAGTTTCTCGCCTTGAAAATCCGAACAAAGAAATCTACGGAGTGTTATTCTATGATTTCTTTTCTCTAATGTCAAATATAGTTTTATAAATAATTAATCATAATCAGTTTTGAGTTGTATGGTTAAAAATTATGCACATTTAATATTACATTTAAATGTAATGGTAAAAAAATTATTAGCTTGCGTAATTTCCCATTTAACAAATAAGTAGAATTTCTGAAAGATTGTAATTTAAATTTAAAGCAAGCATTTTTTATTCAGCACTTAAGTTTGTATTATAATATTTTTTAAATGATTCACAGAAACACTTTAAAGAAATAAATTGGTGATATAACAAGTAATGAAAGCAACAAACATTATTTACTTTAGAAATATAGAGATACTTAAGTAGACTAAAATGTCGTATTATATATATTTAGGATATATTTTACTTGTACAAATAAATTTGCATTGTTCTGATGGCTAACTAAGTACAAGTATTAAAAATATTTTTATCAGCGCAACTCCGTATATTCCTTGTTCCAACAATTATTCTATGTGTGCGTGAGTGAAAGGCTTATACGTATACAAATGTAATCACGCTGTTCTTTACATGTGTGAGTGAAGATGGCATTCGTTCTTTTTTACACGATCTATACAATACAAAACAAGTATAAAAGTGGGTCTGTCTGTTAACGATGTTTAGTTTCTAAAATGTAATAGAGAGTGGCGCATCTCATGTTTTTCAGGATGAAAGAGAAATCTATGACTTAAGCGAATCCTTAACACATTGAAAATAAGTCTAGTTAAAGATAAAACTAAATTATTTAATTCCAGAATCTATCTTGACTTATAAATAAACATAAATATTCTCTATTTTCGGAAATAAAATAAAATGAACTTAGTTAATTACTTAATATAATCTTCTTTGATTCTAAACTTAAATAATATTTTCTCAAACCTTTGACTAGCTATTTCCATGCAAGTTTACGAAATACTTTTATGAAAGAATTAAAAATATAATATTGTTCACACATAACCAATGAGAAATCAATTTTATTATAATATTTTAAGCTAAATAAATATTAGCAGTGTTTAAGTTGAATAAGAAGATACAGAAACTAAGTCATATTCCTAATACTAACTTAAAACTGCGACTTTTTCATAGCATTAATAATACTATTAAATATTCATATCATAATTTCCGTAATCGTATACATAGTATTTAAGTAACCTTAAGTTATAAGTAAATTGATTTAACTGATATGTCTGAAATCTAATTTTAAAGACATAACTATTACAATATAATAGTGTTGTAGCACTAACTCTTGATTAGATTATGTAATTTTCTTTTATTTAACTAAATACGACACTACGGTATACTAAACATTATTTGTGTTTTTGTCACTAGATGGCGTTAGTTGTTTTTATCGGTAGTTTAAGTTCAATGACAATTGAATCTCTCGTTCAAATATTTGGATTATCACTGAGTTTTCTTTAGAGATATTAAGAACCTAAAGGTAGCAAATAAAAATATAATATTTATTATTATTAAAATTTTTATTTATCTTAAAACTAGATACACAGTCTTTTTATTTACTATAAAATAATTTTAAAATAGAAAGACAAATTACCCGTAATACTTCGAAATAAATAAATCTTAAAAATAAAATGAACCTTTAGTAAATAAATTAATACAATAAAAGATATTGGAAAATTACAAAAAATATACTATTCATTTAAAACGAATGATCTTAGCCATTTTTTTTTTAAATTATTTGACATTTTTAGTTATACTTTTACCCTGTTCTTTCCAAACTTGGTTATTTATACAATGTCTTATTATTAGTGTGGATTTCTACTGCCGAAAAAATTGCACAAAACCGAATATCATCACTCTCATTATCTTCGAAAAGTGACAATGTTTGAAAAGGTATTTCGGTAGTGTTAACTTACGCTTATACAATACTAACCTTATACTATGCTTTATAATTAAAATAATATCCTTGAGATACTGGCCGTTTTTAATCCTTCAAATAAAAAAAAATAACTTAGCCTACGAGAATTATTTTAATTTGTTTCTAAAGCACATTCCTAAACTAAGCATGTTATTCTACGTTACCTCAGGTTTTTACTGCTTAAATACACTAATTTCAAGTTATTGTCAAGTTTTTCGGCAATGTAGATCCACGTTTATAATTAAACGAAATAGTAAATCTTAATATAATTTGAAAACATTAAAATGCACCATAAAATTCAGCTGCCGAAAATAATTAAAGCTTATTATTTAATAATATTAAAACTTTAATAATTGTAAATTATCTTATTTTAATGCTTAAGATCATTGGAAAAGCTTAATAATAGTTTTTTTCTCTTACTTTAAAAGCTTACAGATTCTTTTTTCAAATATTTTTTTGCATTAATAATTAAATTAACTACGTCAATATTTTTGACCTACACCGATCGAATTTACTTTTAATTATTTATTAAAAATAATAATTTCATGAGTTATTTTGGAGAGTTTTATGAGTTTAGTCTTACGAGTTAATTTGTGAGATTTTATGTGTTGATTTGTGCTTTATATGCTAAGTCGTTAGCGTCAGCAACTAAGCTTGCAGATCTTGCGTACGGGTAAGAAGCGGCAGATGCTGTGGGCGACGTCCATTGTTGTGGTGATGACTGGAAACCGGTTATCTGGTAATGTAACATTATGTAGTGAAATATATAAAAGACAATTTTAATCAAGTGACAAAATGTTTAGATGGATCAAAAATTTTCATAGAATTAATTGTTAAAAACAGATGTAAAGGAAAGTTTTGAATTAGGCGGCCTCCTTCCGTGTCCAATCGGCTTAAAAAAATGAGATATACGGGTAACCGTAGTGGTAACCTATTTTTATTGTATATGTAAGTAATGCTGTCACTCTTATTTGACGAACTCATAAATAAATTAGTTAACACAAAAATTACCTTTCCGCTTAAGTTATTAAGTCCACCTCCACTCAGTAACTTATGTAGACCAAGCGCAGCAGCTGCAAGGAAGGCCAACTTAGCGACCACCAGTGCTTTAGTGACGAGAAGTGTTAGAGCCCCAAAGAGTAGACCGATCACAGCAATCACTTTGACTCCAATACCAGCTAGTAGGGGTGTGTATTTCTTTATTTTTCCTCGGGCTGTGGAAGAAAAGTTTTTTGTTAATAACAACATAACTGACGCCCGTAACGTAGAGGCGTAGGTAATCTCCATTTGGCTTGTTCCTAACCCATCTCTCGCTTCTTCTACATTCGTACATCTATGTATGCATGCACCTCGATTTCGGATGCTCTTAACACTTATAAGTATTTCAATCTGGGCGGCACAAGTCCGTATAGGACGTTCCCGACTGCCACTGTTACTGACTTTTTTTATTAAGTCTGTGTATATTATTCATATTGATTTGGTGTTGACATAAATGAGTTATTTTTTAGGATAGAGTCAATGATATTGCCAGTGCCAATAAAAAAATGCTTGATACTTCCAGAGTCAAGGGAAATAAAAATGAGTTCTAATTTTTATACATTATGTAATGTGCATGTAGCTACACCTTAAGAAGTATCATTGCGCGAGTACGCGATTGCATCGGACCCGGCGAAGTAACCTTGACCGAGCGTTGCGTCCGCTCACGCAACAGGCCAACGAACTCTACCAATGACTTTCTTTTCCATCGACGATAAATGCTACGCGCGTACGACACGTCATCGTAGACTTTGCATGGGCGTATGAAAATTTAGTTTTTATAGTTTTTTTTGTAAATATAAGGTGCTTTTATTTAAGGTTTTTTTAATAATTTATAGACAGTTATTGGGTAAATTTTTACGATATTTTTTTATAAAAATTATTTTTTATTTTTATTTTAGTTAAATTGAATTAATGTTCTTTAGCGATAATATCAAGGTCAAGATAAATTCTTGATTTTTGTCGTAAGTAGATATTTACGGTTGTTTATTAGTTTTAGTGTCATTAATTGGTTGGTTTAACTCTTTAAAATAAACGTAAGCGTAACGTTAAATGTCAGTATTACTCACCTTCTTCAAAAGTCCTTGCCGCCTCCCGCAGTTCTCCTGGCTCGAATTTTACATTAAGTTTTTCTTCACCTTTCGCATCCCTAAGTAGTAAAGAAAATAATACTAGTTAAGGTTATTATCATAAAAATAAGCAAGAAAAAATTCTAAATGTGAAATAAATTATGTTTATGATTAAGATAAATTATATCAACATGATTTTATTTCAGCAAAATGACCCTTGTAATATGTTTTGCGCGTTGATGTCTTTTAGTCTAACGAAAATATCCTAAGATTGTAACCGACTGCAAGTTGTACTTAACATTAAGAATTATTATCTGGTACAATTACGTTACTTGACTCATTATATACAATGAAAATGACGTTTCTAAAATGGATAAATGGATTGATATGTTTTCTTCATAAATGAAACAATAGAAAGTTACAAAATTGTATATGTATACATTCGATACGTTTGACTCTACATGTTATTCGTTATCAATAATGCGTGATATTTACTGCGGATATACTAGGCAAGGCTAGTATCTGGTAACGCTCGCTATAGTTAACATAATTTACCATTTTGAAAAGACAACCATGATTCATACGCTATGTGTATACCAAGGAAGGTTATATAAAGTATTTGATTAAAGTTGTACGTTTTCTCAAAGCGCAAAACAAGAACGATGAGCTAACAATTACGTAAAATTGCAAATTTACATAAGTATAATACATGACTTAAATTTCATGTAACTGGAAGAAAAAGTTTTTCACTGTCTGTCTGTCACAATTATCTTAAACATATATTTTTAAATAACCTACTATTAAACTTTTACTAAAGTGCAGTAAAGTATAATATCTATTGTAAGATTATTTAATTAAACTTACCGTTCTATAGCTACTCCTGAAAAAAGCTCTAACCTCCCATCATCTTCAGAACCTCCCGGCGCAGCACTGCAGGCCACCACCGCGACAACAAGTATAGTACACAACACTCGCATAATGTTACTTAATTGTAACTTAGTCTAAGATATTCGGTGGGTCCTACTTAGGCTGTAGTCGAGGATCGATTGAGACGCGTCCGGGATACCCACGCTTTTATATTCAAAGAGGGAAGACGAATAAATTCTGTAAGGCTCAGACCCATTGGATTACGTTCGGGGAATTACTTGGGTCAAAGGTTCTTGATACTTGACTGCTATTTTTTATTTTACCAGATTTTTTCATTCTTTACAAAATATTTAAACCTAATTTGACATCAGTACATTCACAGATATGTTTATTACAAAGAATTTCAAAGAACTATAACCTATAATAATATGCGACTAAAGAAAGATGGTCACAGTTTAAATTATTTTAAAATTGTAGAGTAATTCTACGTTAATTATTAGAAAATTCAGTAGAGATTTATAGACACTTTTATTGTAATTTTGTATATTGTAATAAATAAATAACTAAGTAATCTCCTAGTGTTTAAACTATATTTAAATAATCAAAGTATCAAGACTACGAGGTGTTGGGATACTCTCATTCATATGGGCGAAGACTCACTATCAACAATTCGGAGGCGTGACTTTAGGATATAGAGCTAATCTCATTATTACTTTGGAGAAATGAACTTTATTTTCATGTTATGTGTTCATAAAGTAAACTAGTAGATGGATTTCGTGCACAAAAACATGTTTTGCCAACTCTACATAGAGTAAAATAAAGATAGGGCGATGATGATCAACTGTTTTTAAAATAACTATAGTAGAGTCGTTTGTATTGTCACATAATGTTGTCTCTGTTTTATTCAAAACGAATGAAAAGGATGACAATATTAATACAAGTGTCAGTCCAGTGATGCTCTGGAATAAGGACACTGACTTGTAAACATGGACAGGCTATGTGTTGTTGTGTTTTGTGCTTATTTGATTTTCGCCATTTTAGAGCTGACACTCAGTGACAGCTGTAAGCAGTGGTTACGAATTTTAACGACTCATGGAGATTGTATTGATTGTCAGTAATATCAAGCCTGTTTAAGTTGGAGCTAAGCCAAAACTGACATTTGCTTGGTACAACCTATCCAACAGAAAAATTATTGGGTTACGATATATACTTTATATTGCAAAATGTATTCTCAAGTTAGTGTATATGAAGTTTGTTTTATTACTCCATTGTAACAGTTGGCAAACAAATATTGTGTGTCATAAAAATAAAATATGTCAAACTTTCACGAATACATTTTACCTAAAAGAAGTAAAAGAGATTGTGTAAAAGATGTATGAGGATTCAGATTGTCGTACAGTCTCTATTTTTGAAAGTAAATTAATTGTATTGAATATTATCCTTTATATAACATAAAGTCGCTAATTCTAAAGCACATTTTCTAAATTCGACTAATTGCATCATACTTGCAATTAATAATAAAAATATCAATTAAGAATTTTTTAATTATTGTGTTTTAAATTATTTCAAAATAAACTATCTAAATGTCAATGAACTTTAAAAGCTTGTCATTATTCTTAACGCAGTATCCCAAAGCTTCCGATCGAAGTTTTCTCCATCTTAAACAGGTCAAGGACATTCAACTTTCTCTTATATTAAAGATGCGTTTACACTGACATTACAAAAAAGTTCGATATTTGAAATCGAGTAGGAGTATAAGTCTATTTATAAATTTTATTATCCTGCAGTTTTCACTACTGAACCATTTAATTTATTTATGATTTTCAGTTATTTTTACATTAAGATAAATATTTTTCTTTCAACTGTAGATTTATATCTAAAAACTTTTCGATAGCATGTAAACTTACTCTTAATAGAGATAGGTAGCAGTAACTCTCAAGGACATGACAATGAACTGTCCAATACTTTCTATTTGGGAACTCAGTATTACATCGAATAGATAGGTATATAGGAAACGTAGACGTTACAAGATCTATTTTAAAAGAATATTATGGATAATAAAAAAATATAGTATTTAAAATCATTGGAAAATCGTGCAATAAAAATTATACAAATTAATATTTTAAAAGCTAAAGTTAAGATGAAGTTTATGAATGGATGTTAGTAGGTAGCTCCGGAACGGCACATCAGATCTTGATGAAATTTGGAGTCATGTGCCAACACGTAGGCAACTAATTAAGTTTTTTTAATTCTATGCGGACAAAGTCGAGGGTGACAGCTAGTAAATCAATATATCTCTCCACAAGTATAAATAACATTTCTTGCTTTAATTAAGTTTATACGTAATTGTGAGTTTAAGTTATAATACTAAGTATTTTTATTAATATTTCATTTAACATTAATTGTAACTAATTCTTTTATAAACTGGTACGTAGTCTCTTCTATTATAAATATCATTTTCGTAATCAGCTTTTGGTAGTCGAATGATTTCTACATGTGTGTTTGCGTCGTCCTTTCGCTGTTGATATCCGTGAGATCCAAACATTCCTTTTAAACTGAGAATTGATGCCAGGATAGTTGAGAAGAAACCCATCATGAGACCTATAGCAAATAAACTCAGTGTTATTGGTAAGGAAGTTGTCAGGGCTTTGCGTAATAGACGCAAATGGATATTGCTTACAACTGTAGTTAAAGAACGCGAAACTTTATAAATTTATTAAAGTACTAAGGTTTTACTGGTGTTGTTATTTTCACAACAACAATAAATTTTTTAGAATTTTTTATCAATCTAGTCTCGTCTCTATGTAGAGTTGACACAGTATGTACTAATCATCCATACATCTCTATCAGCTGTTATCTGAATTCACTCTTCTTACGTATGCATATCATCTTTAACTCAGTCCATCCATACTTTTATAGGCCTTCCTTTATCTTTATAGACATATATTCAATCACATTACTTTATTATTAAAATGATCATATTCTTTTCGCATATACCACGCTTTTTTTTTCAATTTCTCCATCACTGGCTCTACTTTCAAAATTCCTTTAATTACGAAGATCCTTAACTACATCCACGCCGCAGAGCTGGACTTACGAGAGCTACTAACGATGGAATGACAGAAGGCACAATACAGGCGACTTTGGCGATCTCTTGTGTCGGAGGCCAAGACCCAATTTGGGCAGCCACTGGTGCAGTGACTAGCGGAGTAAGTAAGTTAACTACATCCTTTCTTGCCACATGCATCTTAACATACGCATCTCAGTCACATTTAGAAAAAAAACTTAGCTACGTTTATTGCATTGTTTGATTTACATTTTTGTATTGTAAATGAACTTACATACCTTTAGCTGATATAATCGTGAGAGCCTTAAGCATTATTGGTATTAATAAACTTTTGGCTAATACCAATCCAAATATTAGTGGCAGCATATATTTATGCAAACCTTTCTTGCCCTTTCCTTTTCTTTTTAAAAGTTTAAGGAAACATTTCTTTATTTTTCCTTTCCCTTTATGTTTCTTTTTAATCTTTCTCTCTCGTCGATTTTTCAACTTTGCTTTATTTCTTTTTTCTGATGCAATTTTAATCATTTTTTCAGGAACAGTGTCTGTAAACATTTAATTTACCTTAGTTAAAATTCTTATTGATATAAAATATTTTACGGATATTATAAAAAAGAATATATGTAGTAAATGTTTTTTTTAGTTATTAGTAAATAATATTTAGTTAGTAGTAGGAAAGAAATCCGACACTGTGCCGGTGTATCGGCGCAGCACTTGCCTTACTAAAATGTCTACATTTATGTCCCCTCACAACCCGACACTTGACTTGGTAACAAAAGCGCGCCATTTGCGCCAAAGGATTCTAAATAATAATGTCTAAAATTCACAATAATCAGCTCACTATACGTCCCCACCGAAGGGCTCGGAGACTATCTTATGTTAGGGGTGACTAGGCCATAGTCAACCACGCTGGCCCAATGACGGTTAACATCACACACATCTTTGAATTTCTTCGCAGATATGTGCAAGTTGCATCACGATGTTTTTCTTCACCATAAGAACGTCGGATAAATGTACATATGTGAATCAAAAAACACATTGGTACATGGCGGGATTCGAACCCAAGACCTGCAGACAGTCAAGTGCTGTACCCCCTGAGCCACCGACGATCACTATCTAAAATTACTTACCTTGAAATGCTCTTTCTTGCAACGGTGATTGATTTAACATCCAACTTGTGTTTTTATTGATAAAACTTGTATTGACAACATTATTTTCAATTTTAGGAAGATAAAGCAAAGTTTCTGTTACTATGCTATAATTTGTATCAAAAACAAGACTATTGAAATAAGACATTGTCAATATTGTGTAGTTTACACACTATTAAGTTTTTATTCCACAATTTTATTGATGGTAAATTTAAGTTACATTTAAGTTGATAACTTAATACACGTGTTGCTTCGTAAGTTTATTTATGAACTACGTAAGTTCGGTCATGGTAACTTATACTTATACGATCTTAAGTAGTACATTTATGCCTTTAAGCGTTATGTTAAGTACAGTAATGCTCGTTTGACCTTTTAATTATCAATTAAAGGCAGTAATATTTAGGGAAAGTAGTAAAAACAAAAATAAAATAAAGCATAGATTGTAATTACTAATTTTCCTGAAATTAAGCTATGTGTATATAAACTGTTAATCCAATTGACGGAAAGATAATACTTATTATTCTTACTTTAAATAATTTTAATGTAATTATCAAAAGATAAAGAATAAAGAAAACATCTTCTGCTCATTTTTCTGTTTTTTTTTTTTTTTTAATATCTAAAGTTAGATTTGGGTCATTACTAATGAAGTATACATACTTATATTCTTTTAATCTACTTTTAGTCTTATTTTTCCTTTAAATAATGGTTAGAGTGTTGGATACACATTCACCTATATTATATTATACTAGCTGTCGCCCGTGACTCAGTCCGCGTGGATATATAAAAAAAAACTTAATTATTGTAGCCTACCCATCCATTAAAGTAAGATAAATCCATTAAAGTAAAGGCATAAATTCTAAAAAAATATGAATAAATGGTATCCTATGTCCGTCTCCTGGCTCTAAGCTACCTCCTCACCA